CATAGCTCACGTCTGTTGTCACTTCTTTGTAAGCCAAGTTCTTATGAGAGGGTTGGTTCTCTCACCAACACGATCCACAGAGCTGAATGAGATCTTGGCTGATGAATTGTTGGTGTTTAACCCAGGTTCCACCAACACACCTGACTAAATCCCCCTTGGCCACAAAGGGCGCTTACGTAGAAGAGATGACAAGGTATTGTTTAAAGCTAAGGAGATAAGTCCTTTCCATGTATTCATATTCCATATATTCACATTCCTTATATTGAAAGCCAGGCTGGATGTGGCTCTGGACAGCCTGGTCTGGTGGTTGGTGACCCTGCACATAGCAGGGGGTTGAAACTAGGTGGTCACTGAGGTCCTTTTCAACCCAGGGCATTCTATGATTCTATGATTCATAAAGACGTTTGAGGTGATCTTCAGCAATAATTACTGGGTATCTACATGAAGGAGAGGTGAATCTTACCCCGGAGAAAGCAGCACTGCTCATACCTATGTTTAAAACAAAGTTAACCAAAATGAAGGTAGCCCCATCTAACAGCAAGCTTCACCATATTGGATTAGATGGCCTTTAAAGGTCCCTTGCAACTCAAACTGATATGCTTCAGTCTTCATTGTCAAGGCCAGCCTTCAAGAGATCCCTGGCCCAGAGGATCAGGGAGAAAGTCTGGAAAAGGAAGACTTTCCCTTTACTGGGGAGATCATTAGAGTGTAGAACATTTAGAAAAACTTGATGCCCAGTCCATAGGTCCTGATGGGATGCACTCATGAGTGCTGAGGGAGCTGGTGGACATGACTGCTAGGCGACTCTTGATCATCTTGATCATGATCATCTTTGATTGCTGTGGCAATCAGGAGAGGAGCCTGAGGATCAGAAGAAAGTCAGGATCACCAGTATTCCAAAAGGGCAAGAAGGAGAATGCAGGGAACTGCAGGCCAGCCAGCCTCACATCCATCCCTGGAAAGGGGATGGAACAGCTTATTCTGGATGTCATCTCTAGGCATGTGGAAGACACAAAGGTGATCAGGAGCAGGCAGCTTATGCTCATGCAGTAGGTGGTATGCATAATAACCATGGCTGCATGTAGGTTTGGGACCCATTTCAAGAACAGGAAATATGGGAAAAGATGAATAACTACTTGTTCTTTTGTAATTGATACACCCATGTGGTGCTGTGGGCTCCATGTTGTAGCTGGATATGGATGAGATTTCCCGCAGTGAATTTGCCACATAGGATACTCCAGTGATGTCTCCCTTGGTAGAGTGACAGCTGTGCTGATAAGGCAGGAATGGGAGAGCAAACAGGGTGGGAGGAAAACACCCAGTGCAGTCTGCGAGGGTTTGCTCCAATCTGATGAGAAAGACAACCACAAAATGGATTAAATAGTAACCAGAGATATGGCAAGAAACTTGGGACACAGAAGAGCGCTCAGCTCTGCTGCTCTGTAGTCTGACCTGGAATGCATAGGTCAGGGCTAGCCTCTTGATTATGTGTCAATAAATCAGCAGATCTCTATCATCCTGATTTCGTTTGATCCAGTTTTTTCCTTGCCTCACCACCAGCCCAAATTATTGCATGGCTCTGGGGTAGCACTAGGGTTCTAGGTTCATCACCATCCTCATGGGTCATAGAATCAATAAGGCTATGAAACATCATCTAGCATTTGCCTTTGGGGAGAATCATCATGGCTGTATCTCAGAGTGCTTTGCAATGCCTTCATTCATAAGAGGTTGCCCAACTGCCATCCATAATTTTTTATCTGTTAATCATTGAATAATGTTTCATGATAAACAAGGAAGAACAGTTCCGTGTAGCATATCAGTTACTTACTGACATCTTACCTTTTCTTGTTTAAAGGCGTTCGTGTCCTGAGGTCACATGTGATGGCACTTAATGACTTCATAACATTTCCTTGGTTCCCTGGAATAACAATGTCTCTTTTGTCCCTACTTGCTAAGCAGAAGGGCCAGCCCATGATGTGAATATTTTGATAGGTAGCAGAATATGGCAGGGATTTAAGTGAGAAGAGTGAAGCTGTAGCTCCCTACTTGTGCTTTTCATGGGGGTGAGTTAACTGCTAAACACAATTAATTACATTTGGAGCACTGAGCCAACAGAGGACGATGAATCAGACTTCAGGTAAGGCAACAGGTGGAATCCCCAGGAACACCACCCATATGGGATATTTAATGATATTTAATGAAAAAACTATGCACATCACCCACATCTTTACCATTTCTGTGAGTCTCCTCAAAGCCCCCTTCACCTCCTGGTTCCTCAGGCTGTAGATCAAGGGGTTCTGCATGGGGGTCACCATGGTGTAGAGCACTGCTGTCCATTTATTATCCCTGGAGCTTTAAGTAAATTGTGATGTACCATGGAGGGAGCTCACAACAGTCAGGTGGGAGGCACAAGTGGAGCAGCATTTTGGGAATACGATGAATGAGTACAGCAGGGGGTGGTAAATGGCTGCACAATGGTCTGAAGCTATCATAGCCAACAGGAAGCCCAAAAAGTCCTGGGCTGCACATCCAGCATAGGCAATGACCTTCTCTGACACAGAGTCAACCAACGCCTTGGGGATGATGATGGTGGAAGAGCAGAGGTCTACCAAAGCCAGATTGCACAAGAAATAATACATGGAGATGTGGAGTTGAGGGCTGCTACACGATCATCACCAGGTTCCCCAAGACGGTGACAATATAGAAACAGAAAGAAAAGAGGAACCTGACTCATGAGGCCACCTGTGAACCCTGCTAAACCAAATGCAGTCACCTGGGTGCAATTGCTTTCTGCCACCGGCTTGGTGCATGCTTTCTACGTGAAGCAGGACAGAGAGATTCTTGCAGTTCTTTCTGCTGCAGGCTGGTATCCCCCAGGTATAAAGCCCTCTCTCCAGCACGCCACAGAGGTGAGATCTAAAGGAAGACTTCAAGCATGAAATGATAAGAAACAGCTTGCCAAAAGGTGCAGCACCACGTGGGCAACATAAAATGGGATTTTGCAATGCTTCTTTCCTGGGAGAAAGAGGTTTCTCTTGGCTTCCTGAGACTCTCTTTCAGCTATAAAGCATTTCCTGGTTCTCTAACCTGTTTCTAGAGTCTTGAGAAGGAGATGGGCATCCCCAAAAGCTGAAAAATATTTTCTTGAAAGTATTTTTTTGGGGGGAAAAAATCTTGCTCTCTGCATTAGAATTTGATAATAAACTCACTTTCAGCAAATGCCCCACTATTTCATGTAGCCTGGGGTTTTGGGAACTGAGAATCTCTTCAAGCCTCAGGAGAGGAACAAATCCCAGAGCAGGTCATCCTCCTTTCTCTGCATATCTTGTTTTGGATAAGCAGTGCACCCAAAGCAGACAGCCTCAGATCAGATGAACAAAGGGGCTTTGTTGCCCCTCAGAGACGGTATCTGGCAATGCACATCCACTTTGTGAACATTTCAGCTTCACCATGCACTTAGATGGGCACTGGTGGGGCACAATCCCCCATCCACCATGGGTGATGAAACACCTTACTACCCATTTTAAACCCCTTGTATGCAAACCATAGCTCTCAAATTTGATTACAAGGAGCCAACGCTATCAACCAGCTACCCATTGCTGCCCTTCTCACCCACACGGCCATCACCCCATCTTGCACAACGTCCAAGTTGGTCAGCTGTGATTTCCCCCTGGTAAAATGCATGCTGGATGCTCTCTGCACCTCCTTGCTCTGCCTGGAGAGGGCTTCCAAGGTGATTGAGATCATGATCCCACTGAGGACTGCCCACAGTCCTCCTGCACCCCTTGGTGCTTGGGATGACACCTACCTTCAAAGCGAGGAGAAACTCTGCAAAGCAAGCTCGGGTTCCTCTTTCTCAAGGCAAAGTTGGCTTGGACAAACTCTTGGAACTCACATTTTACAGATGTGGCGCATCTGGAGCGTCATCTCTGGGCATCACAGATGGTGATGCACAGAGAAGGCAAGACCAGGTCCTATGGCTTCATCTCTATCATGCCCCAACAACTCCCTCTTTCAGGTGTTTGCTGGTGTGATAAAATGGACTGATTTATCTCAGACTCAGATTTACCACCTTGAGACCCTTGGTCTGTAGGAATTCTGCTGAGGGACATCAGCGGGTCACTATCATGGTGCCAGCACAATCACTGCATCCATTGCTTGCAAGTAGGAAGTTGGCAGCCTTGGGAAGGAAGAAATGATACAGTAAGTGATGCTGAGGCTCAGGAGCAGCCATTTTCACATGGCGTCATGGTTTTCAAGCCAACCATCCCCATTTCAAACCTCTCTCCCAAAGAGCACCTGCCCCCAAACTGGGGGTCTCACTCCCACCCCTATGTGGGAAAACACTCTGCTGATGGAGACCAGAGAGGTTCATTAAACGCTGAAAAACAGAGGAAAGCAGAAAAATCGACTACGAGGACTGCAGTGCTGAGCCCCACCCTGGCTGTCATTTCACCTCACACCTCCTCATCTCCTGCTCAATGCTGGCCCTGCGGCTGACAGCAGGAGATGGATGGGGCCATGCTGCTGCCGCAGGGGATGCAGGCAGCACGGTGATGGATGTGGGGGCTTGAGGAGGTGGCGGCCCCCCTCTTTGTCTGCACAACCAGTCCCATTCCCCAAAATCTAGCGCTGACCCAAAACGCAGGGACTTCACCCCTCCCCCCTGGTGTCCCCTCACCCCAGCTGTGCTGCTGGCCCCACTGCAGTTTGGGAACTGCCCCCCATCCCCAGTGTCACATCCCCACCCCAGGCACACCCAGACCCACCTAGGGGTCCCAAAGCCATTGCTGCCCCTCCCGTCCATCACTGGGGTGCCAAGGCGTGAAGGCAGAACAGGGAGGGGGGGTTGTGCTCCCATCAAGCTCCATCCCCCTTGTCTCCACCCCCATGCAGGGAGATAAAATCCCTCAGTGTTCTGCGGGGGCTGCAGTCTGGAGCCAGCAGAGTTGCAGTTGCTTTCTACCCACCCATGGCAGGTAAAAGGCAATCGGGCGGGATAACGCTGTGCTACACTGGAGACCCTCAGCTGGAGAAGGATGCATAGGGTGGCTTCCAAAAGTAGGGTGCAAGAACCTCAGCACCTATTGCACCCCTCCACAGCCTTCCTGGCCATTCCCAGCGAGGGCCTCCCTGCAGCCAACGCTCCTGGGTGGGCATGTGAGGGGCCAGGAGCCAGTGGCAAGAACCGCCGCGTGTGCCATGCCATGGCACGGCTGGAGATGGGCAACCTCTGGGAGGAATTCAACCGTCTGGGCACCGAGATGATCGTCACCAAGGCAGGCAGGTAGGGACAGCGGTGGGTGCCGGAGGGGTGATGGGGCAGGGGGCACCCCTGTGGCCTCCCTCCTCCCCGCAGGAGGATGTTCCCCACCTTCCAGGTGAAGCTGTCAGGGTTGGACCCGTTGGCCGACTACGTTCTGCTGATGGACTTCGTGCCATTGGATGACAAGAGATACCGGTGGGGATGGAGAGGGATGGGGATGTGATGGGCGCATCCCAACGGTGCTGAGCCCCCTTGGCTCCCCAGGTACGCCTTCCACAGCTCGTCCTGGTTGGTGGCTGGCCGTGCTGACCCAGCAGCTCCTGGCCGTGTCCACTTCCACCCTGACTCACCAGCCAAGGGTGCGCAGTGGATGCGGCAGATCGTCTCCTTTGACAAGCTCAAGCTCACCAACAACCTCCTGGATGACAATGGCCACGTGAGGACATGGTGCTGGGGTAGGGATGGGGGGCACGTGTGGGGTGAGAGTCCCACCACCCACTCTCTGCTCTATTCCAGATCATCCTCAACTCCATGCACCGCTACCAGCCCCGCTTCCACGTGGTGCTGGTAGACCCCCGGCGTGACAGTGAGCGCTTCGCCCACCAGAACTTCAAGTCCTTCAGCTTCCCAGAGACCCAATTCATGGCAGTGACGGCATACCAGAACCACCGGGTGAGCTGGGGAAGGGAGAGGGAGGACAATGGGGTGCCCCCCATCCCATAGCCCCCTGATCCCATAGCTCCCCCTTTCACTGCAGATCACCCAGTTAAAGATCGCCAGCAATCCCTTTGCCAAAGGGTTTCGGGACGGCGAGCCTGAGCCATGGTAAGAAACCCCCCCTACTGCCACAGTGCCATGGTGATAGCCACATCCTCAGCACTCCCCTGCCCTCCCTCTTGCAGGTGTGGCACCACGCTGTCCCTCCCCCAGGCCACCTCGCAGAACAAAGGTAGGGGGGCCAGAGGCCGTGCTGCCCCCCCACTGCTCCCCTGCAGCCATGGAGCGCTGGCTGCTGTGGCACCCCCAGGTTTATCTACACCCCACTTCCAGCCCCTCCCCTACCCACCCCACAGTGTCTACGTGGGGGCTAAGCCCCGTGCCAGCCCCTACCCCCTCCCTGCCCTGCAGCCAGATGGCTTTGGCTATGGGCAGCAGTGAGGGGTTCTCTCTGTACCTCCCCCTCAAGGACTCGCGAACAGGGGACACAAACAGGGAGCCGGGGGGCTTTATTTACTGCAGAAACCTCTAGGCTTGGAAAAGGAGAGGACGAGGCCAGGGAGCATGCAGCCAACCCCCCGTCACATGGCACTGGGGGGTCCCAGCAACGTGGAGCCCTCCAGGTCCATGTGGCACAGTTCAGTTACTCCCAGGGATCGGGGGCGAAGGTGAAGGGGCACAGCTTGTAGCCAGCACCCACGTAAAACTTATTCTGAAACTCCACCCTGCCAAGGAAGGAAACGAAAAAGGCATGGTGAGGGGTGAGGGGGGGGTGTGCGGGGTTCTGTCCCCTCCATATCCACTAGGCTCACCAGTGCAGGCGAAGGGCATGCAGGAAGGCGGAGAGCCCCTCCATCACCAGCAGGATGGCCATGGTCAGCACGGCGAAGGCGGCGAAGACGGGCACCAGCACGACACCACCAACATAGCTCAGCCTCACAAAGCCATTCTGCATCACCATGGTCCACAGCACCTCAGAGAGCTCTGCCCATGGGGTGGGGGACATATAGGGGACAGTGAGGCTTAGCTCAGCCACTGGGGTGGGTTTGGATGGCATGGGGGGCACTCACGCGCGTGGGCAAGGCTGAGCGCCCAGAGCCGCAGGTAGGACGCGGTGTTGGAGATGCAGCCCAGGCAGTACTCGATGGTGTGGATGGCTTGATGCATGAAGACCTCGGAGAAGTCCATGTGCTGCAGGGACAGAGGTGGGATGCTGTGTGTTGGGCTGGTGGGGGGGGCAAAGACACCCGACCCCCTCACCAGCCCCCAGCCCCTCACCTCAGCATCAGGGCCATGCCCCCCACTCTCCACATCCTCCTTGGTGGCATTGACAGAGTTGCCGGCCTCCTGCCCTTCCAGCAGTGGCTCTTGCTCCACCGTGGCCGCAGGCTGCATGGGGACATCAGCCCAGGTCAGGCCCCCCAACCTCAGCCAAGACCCCCAACCTCATCCCCAGCCTCACCGGGATTGAGTTCGCCCTCCGCCTGTGCTGCTGACTGTACAAATATAAGGGTGTCCCCAGGAGCAGGACAGGCACCGACGCCAGTGCCAGCACCACCAGCACCATCTGCACTGGCACCTGCAGCACACAACAATTCAGGGTCCTTTCTGGCTCTGGGACACCCAAAACCCTACACATCCTGAGCAAAAGGAGCTGAGGATGTCCCTGCTCATGACACTGGGACACCCCAGTCTTGGTGGGAGTCCCAGAGGTGCTACCTGTCCCCGGTAGAGCGGGAGGTTGTCAGCATTGGAAGTGAAGAGGAACATGTCGATGAAGTGGATGAGGATGCTGGGGGCCACCTGGGAGTCGGCGGCGCTGAACTTGACCCATTTGTAGAAGATGAGGAAGACGAGGTAGCCAAAGAGGGCCAGCAAGAAGACTACCTCAGGCAGGAGCTCCAGCACCAGCCGGTGCCACTGTCGGAAATGCCTGAGCAGGAGCCAATGATGAGGTCTGCACTCAGCTCAGCTCCGACACAGGACCCCGCTCGCCCACCCCATCCTGCCACCATCTCCTTAGCGTGATCCAATGGGGGACTCACACGTGGTTGAAGATGCCTAGCAGCACGCCGAAACCCATGTGCACGATGCCCAGCACCACTGACATCTTCATCTTGAAGGAGTTGAGGAAGTTGAGGTGGTTGGTGGCTAAGCTCCAGATCTGCAAGGACAACATGAGCGAGATGCCCAGCCGCTCCAGCGAGGGTCCCATCCTGCCCTTGCCCCCATGGGATACTGACCGGGTCGATGCCAAAAGGATAGGGCCCTCGGAACACACCAGTGACATTGGGGTCCAGGGTGAGGGATTGGTGGGTGGCGAGGTAGGCAGAGCTGTGGGCAGAGCGAGGGGTCAGCGTGGGCAGGATCAGGCTTACAAGGAAAAATGGGGACCCACCTCCAGGAGGAGTGGTTGGCCATGGTGGCCACGCTCCAGGCCGAGGGGAAGATGACAGTGGCTTTGCTGAAGCACTCATTGTAGATGAAGCCGGTGTAGATGGAAAAGGCCCCCATGAGCAGGATGAGGTAGCGTCCCTTGAAGAACATCTGCCAGATCTGGGGGGGGAACAAAAAGTGGCTCGCATGTACCACTACCCCCAGCCCACATTGTTCCCAACCCACACCACCCTGCCTAGAACTCCAATTTGCCTCAAGCTGGCCCTGTGCCACAGCAAACTCCATCTCATGCCTCCAATCTCATCCTCTACCTCCAACCCCTACCCCCCAAAGTTTGCCCTTTACCTCCAACCCAACCAGCCTTGCTCCACACCATGTCTCACTCACCTCGTTGCTGCCCTGCTGCAGGCTGGGGCTGTTCTCAAACAGCACCATCCAGAGGGCGAAGAGGAACATGAGTAGCCCATGCCCCACATCCCCAAACATGATGGCAAAGATGAAGGGGAACGTGATGATGGCATAGGGGGCTGCAAGGCACAGGGACCATGTCACACAGGGCCCCCTCAGCACTGGGAAGCAGTAGGGGGACACGATGATCCTTACCAGGGTTCACCTCCTGGTAGCTGGCCACCCCATAGGCATCCACGATGCTCTGGAAGCCAGCAGTGAACTTGTTGGTGCGGATGAGAGTTGGGGGGCTCTCCAAGGTGGGGATCCTCTGCACGAAGCACTCCACGCTTGAGCCACTCTTGTACTGTGGGGAGGGCATCCGGAGCCTGACCCATGGCACCCAACCCATGGCCATGTTGGAACATTGTGGATGCAAAGTGGGGGTGGCACAGGAATGCAGGGCACCAGGAGAGGGGGATAAAAACTTTCCCCACAACATGTACCACCATGGGGCACGTCATGGGGGTGGCACCTTTGACATTGGTGGGAGCACACCAAGCAGCTCTTGACACAATGACATGGGTCAACCAAAGCAACCTTGGCATGAGGACATAGAGCCAACCAAGCAACCCCACAAGAGGACACGCACCGATCCTTGGCGCAGGGCTTCCTGCACCTGGGTAAGGTCCTGCACGGGACACCAAACCTCAGCAATGAGGCACTTCTCAGTAACATCCAAGCTGCACTGGTTGAGGACGAGGTAGATGGCCTTCATCTTCTGCACCTGCACCCGCCAGGAGGGCAGTGCCAGCACCACCTTGTCCAGCACCTGTGCCAGGTACTGCTCTGTCTCCTCCAGCACCTGTGGGCACCCAAAAGGGGCTCAGGGATTTGGAGTCCCGCTGTGGCCTCCCTGTCCCCCAGCTCACGGTGCCCAGCTCACCACACTGAGGTCCTGGATCTGGCTGACCAGCCCATTCAGCGTGTCGGCCCGGCTGGCCTCGCTCTCCGGGTAGGGGTACACACGGCAGTGGAAGCTGGGATAGATGGACATTGCCGTGTTGAAGGCTGGTGCTCCCTGGTATTGCAGCGGGTCTCACTAAATAAACCTTTTCTGTGTGTCCAAATGACGTGGGGCTGCTCACTCACCAGTCTGAGATCTTGTGGATCTTCTGCCCGATCTGCTCTCCCCAGTAGGAGATGAGGAAGATGACCCAGGTGACATTCTCACCCTGGGGACACATAGGTCACATCAGCACCAGTTTGTCCCATCTCCCTTTCCCACCAAGCCCCTGGTGCCTCAGTCACCGTGTTCGGGTCCTCCAGGGGCTCAGGCATCTCCACAAAGCTGGCCACCAGGTAGCCACGGCAGGCTCGCCACAGCAGCCGTTCAAAGGCACTCACTCTCCACGGGTGGATGACACCGGTCACAAAACTGTGGGAATGCAGCTTTGGGCACTGGGATGGGCTGTGGCCATGCCCCCACCCCGTGGCCTATTTCCAACCTTTATCCTACAGCTTTGCTTACTGTCCCTGATGCATGGCCCATCTCCAGCTCTTGTCCTTGAACCACGCCATTGTCCCACAGGCCCATCTCCAAATCATCTCCTACAGTCACACCAGGGCCCCATGACCCAACTCCAACCCTCATCCTACAGTCATACCACTGCCCCACCACCCTTCACAGAATCACAGAATTGCCAGGGTTGGAAGGGACCTCAAGGATCATGAATCTCCAACCCCCCGCCACATGCAGGGTCACCAACCTAATGCTAGACCAGCCTGCCCAGGGCCCCATCTAATCTGGCCTTGAACACCTCCAGGGACGGGGCATCCACAACCTGTCTGGGCAGCTGTTCCAGCACCTCACCACTCTCTCTGTAAAGAATTTCCCCCTGACATCCAACCTAAATCTCCCCTTCCTCAACTTAAAACCGTTTCCCCTCATCCTGCAGTTATCAACCCTTTCAAAGAGTTGATTCCCCTCCTGTTTGTAGGCTCCCTACAAACCCTTCTCCAACCCTCACCCTACAGCCATACCACTGCCCCCTGACCCAACTCTAACCCTTACCCTACAACCATGCCTCTGCCCCACATCTGCCCCACACCCCCCAGCTCCACTCACTTGATCTTGCGGTCGAGGTGGCGTTGCACAGAGGGGTCAAGCAGCGGCTCGTGCTCAGAGAACGCCCGGCTTGATGGCGGCGATCCAGGGGGGCCCTGCAGTGTTGGGGTGCAGAGAGAGGAAGCTGTGGGTGACAGGGCGTGGGACAGATGTCCCCTTGGTCTGCTGGGTCCCGGCACTCACTGGCATGCTGGTGAGGCGCTGTCCTTCACGCAGGACGTGCAGGTATTGGCGCAGGTCCTGCAGGCGCCCCCGCAGGGCAGCACGGTTGCGGCTGACCTCACGCAGCTCCCTCGCCAGCTGCTCTGATTGCTCCTGCACTCGTAGAGCCTCGCGGGCCACCGGGGCTGGAGGGTTTTCGGTGCACGGCCCCAGCACCCGTCCGGATGCCTGCAGCTCCTGCTGCAGGAAGGCTGCAAGAGGAGATGTGGGAGAAGGGATCGAGGGGAAGGACAGCCCCTCCAACCCAGCTAGCCCTGGGTTCAGCACTCACTGAAGGTTTTCTCCATCTCCTCGCAGCGCCGCACCTCACCCACAAAGCGCCGCTGGAAGGCGCTCACGTGGGGGTTCAGCTGGGGAGAGAGGGGGCACAGCCATGGCTGTCAGCACTGGGGTGTGCAGCAGCTCCGTCAGCATGCACCCATCCCCACAGAACCCAAACCCCGTGGCCCCACAGTCCCCAAGCCAGCCAAACGTATGTGCCCAGAGCATCCCAACTGCCATCCCAACTACCCACACCCATCCATCCCAATTCCCCTTCAGAAAACCCCAACCACCCCAAACCCTGCGCCTACAGCACCCAAACCATCCATCCCAATTCCCCTGCACCCAGAACACAACAAAGCACCCATGCTCAATATCCTGCACCCAGAGCATCCACACACACAGCATCCAAACTTACCTATCCCAATCACCCCCCACCACCCCAGACCATCTATGCCCCATTTCCTGCACCTAAACCCAATCCCCCACACCCAAACACCGTTGAGTCCCACCCATGCACCCATGCTACCCAAACCTCCAGCCCACTCTGCCCATCCCAACCTGTCCCACCACCCCAGGGCCATACAGATGGGGCTCCTTGCACCCCCTACATACATCCCTGAACTCCAGCAGTCCCCTCTCGCCCAGCTCACTGACACAGCTGTACGCCGAGGCCGAGTGCAGGAAGAGCTGCGCCAGGCAGACCTCCTCACTGCGGAACAGGGACCCCATGGCGGCCTGGTTGGGGGGCACCCTGTGGCTGGGGGGGGAGGTGAGCAGTCAGTAGGGGTGGAATGAGATGGAGTGGGGGTAGGATGGGTCGGGTGGTGGTAGGGGATGGAGATGGGACGGGTTGGAGTGGTGGGATGGAGATAGGATGGGTGGGGTATTGAGATGGGGAAACGGGATGGGGATGGAGATGGGATTGAGGGATGCGATGTAGAAGGGTTGAGGTGGTGGGATGGAGACGGGACAGGCTGGGGTAGAGATGGGGTGGGATGGGGAGATCCTGCTGCCTCTCCTCAGCCGCGCTGTCCCCACCGCAGGGCTGCAGGGCTGGGGCCAGGGGAAGTCACACGGCACTTCCCGGCTGAGTCGGCCGCGGTCACGCTGTTCCCGGCACTTCGCTTGCACAACGCCGTCCCACCCCCAAGTCCCTCCTTCCCCCATCCCTCCACGCGGAGCTCAGCTGCATCTGAGTCACAGCCAACGCGCCCGCGGCCCGGGGGGACCGAGACCCCTCCATCCCCGCCCCTCGGCCCCGACGCCCGCCCCATGCTGTCCCCTCCCTCCTCCCGGGATTCGCAGCCGGGAGCAACCCGGCACCGCCCGCTCCTACCCGGTGCTCGGTGGGGAGGGCCGGGCTCCGCACTTCCTCTTCCCCCAGGAAGAGCCCGTCCCTCCGCTGCCCATAGGAACACCCCGGCGCTTCGGAGGCGGCACTCCAGCAGCCGTACCCGCCCCCCAAACCTCCCCAGCGCTGGAAACCCCTCCACAAGGTGTCCCTCGCCCCAGTAGGCTGCAGCCCCCAGGACCAACGCATCCTCCCCCCAGCTGGTTACAGAATTGGACAAGGCAGGCACGAGCTCAGGCTTAGGAAAGTCTGGTGTACACACACTTTATTAACGGGATTTGGGGTGGGGCACACGGCGTGCTCTCCCCACCATCACCGGTACAGGTAATCAGCCTGGATGTTGGCCGCAATCTCAGCCTCCCACTTGTCGCCGTTGTTGAGCAGCTTCTCCTTGTTGTAGAGCAACTCCTCGTGCGTCTCCGTCGAGAACTCAAAGTTGGGACCCTGCAGGGCGGGAGACGTTCAACAAAGGACGCTCAGGGTCCCCATGGCAGGTGGGTCCCGTTCCCATCTCACCTCCACGATGGCGTCCACGGGGCAAGCCTCCTGGCAGAAGCCGCAGTAGATGCACTTGGTCATGTCGATGTCGTAGCGCGTGGTGCGGCGGCTGCCATCCGCCCTGGGCTCGGCCTCGATGGTGATGGCCTGTCCCCAGATACAATGTCAGAGAAGGGGGAGCCCTGGGAACAGAGGATGGGACACGGGAGACGCTCACCTGTGCGGGGCAGATGGCCTCACAGAGCTTGCAGGCGATGCAGCGCTCCTCGCCCGATGGGTAGCGGCGCAGTGCGTGCTCCCCGCGGAAGCGTGGGCTCAGCGGACCCTTCTCAAAGGGATAATTGATGGTGGCCGGCTCCCGGAACAGGTAGCTCAGTGTCATGGCCAGCCCTACGGGAGCACAGTGTCACCCCCAAGTGAAGCACGATGTCACCTCGAGGTGGGACACAGCACAGGGCTCACCTCGGAAGAGCTCTGTCCATAGCAGGGTCTGTGCAGCGCGGTCGGTGATGGACTTCATGTCCATAGCTGGCTCCTGGATGTTGACATACTCTGCAGGGGGCACGATGCCATCCTCACCCTCCAGGGAGTGGGAGGATGGCAGCAGCCCCTGCTTTGAGGGGATGGTGATGAGAAGGGAATGGGGTTGGGAAGGGTCAGGGTTGGGATGGGGACATGGATGGGGGGAGTACTCACTGTAGCACTCCCGGGGGGTGGTGGTGCTGAGTGCCCGCAGGTAGCACAAGGTGGGAACAGGCGGACCTGGGAAGGACAGAAGGACAGAGTGGTGGGGAGGACGTGCCAGCAGCATGGAGCTGGCAATGAGGTGCAGGGTGATCTCGGTTTGGTCACTTACCTGCCCGGGCAGCCCGGTGCAAGAAGCGTAGCGCTGCCATGTGCTGTCCTGCTGCAGGGGATGCTCAGCACTAAGGGGGTTCAGGACAGCCCCCCCAGCACTGCTTCCCATGAGGGAACGCCAGGTGTCCCGCTCCCCCACACAACACCCCACAAGGACACCCTAGTAGCTGGCTGAGGGACCTGGGCGTCCGCCCCCCAAAACACACAGGCACTTCCACCTTCTGCCCCCCATCCAAGAGAACGGGGTGTCCCGTCCCCATTCACTCTCCCACAAAAAGGAGCCGAATTTCCTGCCCCCTCCCCACCCAAGGAAATCCCACAACGTCCTCCCCCTGAGATGACACATCGACCCCAAGCCTCCCCCATGCGCACCCCTCCGGCCCCCCTTTCCGCCCCCAGGCCTCACCTCCCCCAAGGACCCAGCCGTCCTGACCCCTGGCCCGCCCCCAAAGCGCAGTGCGCAGCCGCGGAGGGCAGCGGCGCATGCGCACAACGGCGCCGGCTTCACTGGGCGGGACCACGGCCGCACTTCGCACTCTATTGGTCGCTGCTAGCCGATTGGCGGCAGTAAGAACCATTCGTACGGGGAGAAGGGGCGAGCTTTCTCGCGGATTGGCTAAAGGCCGGCAGGGCGGCGCGGCGATTGGTCAGGCGGAGATGAGGGCGGAAGGAAGCGTTTATTGAGGCGGCGCTCAGAGCAGCGTGCAGGCGGCGGTGCGGCGGCGGCTCTCCACGGTGGTGCGGAGCATCGGCAGGCGGCGCGGGGCGTACGGCGGGTAGCGGAGGCTGTTCAGCGCCTCCCGGCCGTCGGCACGGAGCAGGGCCGAGCGGAGGTGCGAGAAGGTCTCGAAGGTAAAACGGCCGTGGTAGCGGCCCATGCCGCTGAGTCCTGAGCGGGGAACGAAGCGTCAGGGACTGCGACGGTGCTAGGGGTGAGGGGGGGCCTGGGCCGGGGCCGGGGCCTGATGGATGGGGCAGAGGGATGGACGGACAGAGGGATGGGTGAGCGGTCCAGTGGACGGACAGACAGACAGACAGACAGACAGACAGGCAGATGGACAAAGAGGCAGACAGAAAGACAGACGGACATACCGATGCCACCGAAAGGCAGTGAAGTCAGCGTCATGTGCATGATGGTGTCGTTGGCACAGAAGCCACCACTGCTCGTCCGCTCCAGCAGCCGGCGAACCACCTTGGGTGGGGGGAACGTGAGCTATGAGCACCCAGCGGTCACCCCACGTTGTCCCTGTGGATACTGGGACGTGGAGGTAGCTGCCACCTTTGTGCTGGAGGAGAAGACGTAGAGTGTCAGTGGCCGTTCCCGGGCGTTGATGAAGGTGATGGCATCCTCCTCGCTGGTCACTGTCAAAATGGGCAACACAGGACCAAAGATCTCCTCCCGCATCACCGGGTCATCCTCCTGGACGTCCACCAGCACTGTGGGGGCTGCAGGAGCAGAGACAGGTCATCCCGCACCAGATGCAGCAAGGCACCCCCCGTGCGTGCTGTGCCCTCACCGATGTAGCGCTCCTTCTCATCTGTCTCTCCCCCGATGGCCACACGCCCGCTGCTCAGCAGCGCCTGCACGCGATTGAACTGTTTGTCTCCCACGATGCGGGCGAAGTCAGGGGAATCGCGGGGTTCGGGGCCATAGAACTCAGTGATGGCCTCACGCAGGGCAGGCACCAGCCTCTCCCGCATCTCCACACTGCACAGGATGTAGTCAGGCGCAACACAGGTCTGCCCCGCATTGAAGAAGCGTCCCCAGGCCACCCGCCGGGCCACGTTCTGCACATTGCAGGTGTCGGACACGTAGCAGGGGTTCTTGCCCCCCAGCTCCAGAGTCACCGGTGTCAGGTGTTTGGCAGCAGCTGTCATCACAATCCTGCCCACTGAGGGGCTGCCTGTGGGCAGGGATTGCAGTGTAAGCTGAGCTTCTTGGCCTTTGGTGTAACCAAAGCGTAGTTCTGCCTCCCCATGGGACGCACCAGTGAAGAAGATGTAGTCAAACTTGTTCTCCAGCAGCCTGGTGGTCTCCTCCACGCCAGCAGTCACCACGGCGAAGCAGTCCTGTGGTTTAGGAGAATGATACAGGATACAACTCAGCCATGGGTTTGGATTTTTTTTTTGTCAGGATATAGAGGGACAAGAAGCCGTGGCCAGCAGCTTTCCTACCTTGTCAAGGTAGCTGGGCAGTGCCTCGGCCACCAGCCTCTCCATGTTCCTGCTGATTTCGGAGGGTTTCAGCACAACGCAGTTGCCTGTAGGACAAGAGCTCATTCCCTGTGAGGAGCTGGCTCTTGGGGAGCAGAGAAACCCACCACCATCACCGCCCTTGGGGTTGGGAACTCAGGTTGCCTACGTGAAGATCCCGATACCCTTGTTGGGTAGTAGGGATGCAGCCTCAGCCTTACCAGCAGCGATGGCCCCAATGAGGGGCACTAGGAGGAGGTTGATGGGGTAGTTCCAGGGCCCGATGATGAGCACTACCCCATAGGGGTCCTTGTGGATGAAGGCCGAGTCCAGCTGCGTTGCCTGCAGCAGGAAGGAGATTGTTAGGGACTCACTGTTCCAATCCTGCCCATCCCTGGCAGACACCACCCTATACCCAGTTCTTGTCCACGTTCTCGTCCTTCATCCAGGCAGCCAGGTTGTTCAGCGTGTGGTTGAGCTCACTCCTGCAGACGGAGATCTCAGAGAGTTCCACTTCGAAGGATGGCTGAGGACATGCAGGAAGACATCATGGCCTCTACCATCACCCCACCGCAATGGCTATCCTCCCAAGCCCCACACTCACCCTCCTAGGAGGGTGTGGTGGCCTCAGTAGGGCCAGATGCCACTGTTGGCCTTGTGCTGTGAAGACAGGTGGCACTGTCCTCTCTATCACATGCCACCCATGTAACAATGTGCTGCCTGGCCCCGTACCACTCTGGGCCACCGTGTTCTGGGGCATAGCAGAGGCTCAGATTTGGAGACGTGTTTGTTATCTCAAGAGCTTTAGCTCCATTGATAGTAGAACAACACATGCAGCTCTGGAGATGGGGATGGACACAAGGAATTGAATTGCTCTCAGCAAAAGCTTCTGCAGAGCTGACTGAGCCTAATTCTGTGCCATCAGGAGATCTGCTTTGTGGTGTCCCATCAAAGGTGTCTCCAAAGCTGAGTTGAAGGTCACAGCAAAAAGCAGAGGCCACCTCTCCCCAGGCAACCATGCACCCCACCCCAGAGAGCTGCAGATGAGCAAAAGGGAGAAAACTGATGGCGAATAGATAGGAAAAAATGAGAGGAAAAATGTGAAGGAAGGTCAAGCACTTCTCACCAGCAGCCCCATCCCTCTCACCTTGCGCATGTCCAAGGCAGTGGCCTCCAGGATGTCCTGCTTCTTCTCCTCTAGGAAGAGGCCCAGGGCCTCCAGCTGGGCTGTACGGTATTCCAAGGGCCGTGTCCTCCCTGAGAGCCAGGCTGCCCGCAGGTGGCTCACCAGCTCTGCGTGGTCACTCATGGCACAGGATGGCTGCGAGCTGGTGAGGATGGGAGATGTCACCCACCCTGAGGTGGAGGAGAACACCCAATGCCGGGGTGAAATCCACCATCATGTACCAAGCTCCTGTTGTAGCAGGCAGCGTATGCCTGCCGGTGGCCATATGTGGAGAGTGTGATTGAGTCCTGGCTTGCTGAGAAAGGCCACATAGACAGTATTCGGCTGATGAGGTGAGAGTAAACAAGACAAGGACACGGCACCCTTGAGCAATGCAACAGGCACCCTTGAGCAATGCAACAGGCACCCTTGAGCAATGTAACAGAATGTGAAAAGAAGGAAGCAGAATGTAGAAATGAGAAAGACAAATAGCGTGGTCTACAAGTAGCTGAAGAGCCTATCAGGAGCTCGGGCTTTGCAATATATATGAGCTTCATTAGCGCCAACATAAATGCACGCAACCTTGCTGATTAAAGTTGAGACTTTCTGATCAATTATGTGGTCGTGTGTCTGTCTCCCGCCGAGCTCCGACAGCCATAGAGCACAGCCAAGAGCAATGTGACCCTGAGCTGTGCAAAGATCAGGGTGCATCAGAGTCTGTCTTCATGCTCAAGGATGCATGCCTGTGAGTATATTACACATTGCTACTGCTAAAGATATATAGATGCATTTTTTAGGTTACTATAGATTTCCCACTAGAGAAGTAAGCACGTGTTTCTGATTGTTCGCCCATACAGATAAAGTAAGTACATACTTACAGCCATTCAGCCATCTTCGTTATTTATGATATTAGTGGCACAACACTTGTCAAATCTCTACCTGGAGTGCGGTCAATCGAAGACAGAGCAGCCTTTGGAGACAGTTTCTGTTGCGGTGCGTAGTGTCATCCAGACATCCCTGGCAGGCTTCTGTCTGTCTGTCTGCTGCAGGAAAGGTTGTAGATGTGTTCGTGTGAAAATCCTTCTAGGACAGATAAGGATTTGATTTGCATATCAGGAAGTGGGCGTAGAGCACCATCTTCCTGCTTGAATCTTGATCTTGGTTTCTTTGTCTTGCTGGTTATGCCTCAACAAGAGTGTAAGCAGGTGAGAATATCAGAGTCATCCTGGCCTCCAGCCAAGCACATGGGAGAGGTCTCAGGTTCCGCAGCCAAGCCAGCATCCACCTTTACCATGTTCACTGGCTTGGTTGTAGTGTACCCAACAAGAGGCTTGGTTTTGTGTGCCAAGGTGCTGGAGTTTGGTCCTCCCTCTCTTAAGGTACAGGATGGGGTGAGCAGGGCTGGAGAAAATTAGGAACATGAGCCATACAGAACTGGGAGCTTCAGCTTCCAGCACTCAGCCAGTCACCAGCCAAACCTCTCGAGCACCTTGACCCCCTCCTTTGGAAGCACTTAACAGCCTGCGTGTAATAATCACTGTTTTGCCAGTGCACTTGGTCAGCACAAAGTTCACAGACACCGAGTTGAAGAAGTGCAGTTATCTTTACTTCAGCAACGAGATAGTAAGTGAAATTAAACAGCAAAAATAGAACGCGGCAATGCAGCTAACCATTAGTACATGAGGATAGTGATTGAGAAAGATATGTCACCGATTGCCCTCGTACTTTACCTTCATCCAGATCTGCAGTTGCTGGGAGCCCGGTTGCAGCAAGGATCTGGAGAGCCTTTCCCAGCAATTGGGAGGGCATCTGCTCATAGGTGAGGGCTCCAACTTCATTACACAAGGGTCCAGCTGGGCACGGGTGGGTGTGGGGAGCACAGGGAGACACGAGGGGCAATGGGAGATGCGTGGGACATGCCAGGAGACATGGGAGAAGTGGGAGTTGGGGGGCACTGAGGGTGAAGTGGGGCACCAAGAACTGGGGAGCGCAGTGAGACATTGGAGACGGGGGGCCACCATCTATAGTTGGTTCCACCCCTTAGCCCCAACTCCTTCTTTTCTCCCATCCCACTGGCTACCAGCTCCACCACACACTGATAGGCAGGTGGCCATGGGTGTCACCAAGCCAGTGACAGCTACAGCGAGGCACTCGGAGTCCACAGCAGCAGATTGGGCTGGAGGGCCCCCATGGCTGTGGAGGCACCACGGTGGCCCTGGCGGCCCCTCAGAGCAGGAAGCATTCCCCACGGCGCTTGATTGAGGTGGCAGTGCGGATCAGCCCCATCTTGTGGGTGCTGTAAGGGGGGTAGCGCAGGGTGTTGATGGGCTCGAGGCCGGTGCCACGCTGCAGGCAGCCGCGGTGGTGGGTGAAGGTGTCAAAGGTGAACTGGCCGTGGCACATCCCCATTCCGCTGGACCCTGCAATGCACAGCACACGGTGATCTGCGGTTGAAGAGAAATGCCTTGGGAAGGCAGCGGGACAGAGAGCAAGGGGTGTGTGGGGGCTCCCAATAAGGCTTCTGGGCTCCTGGGTGGAGGAAAGGCTCCCGGCCACCCTCGCAACCTCAATGTCACCGTTTGCATTCTTTAACCCCAGCGCAAAGCTCCGTGCACCAAATGAGGCTCAGAAAACGTGGATAGAAAAGTACTTTTGCAGGGCATCACCTCCTCGCTAGGAGGAGCTCCTCGAAAGCTTCTGAGCCGAGGCGAGCAGGCTGAAGCCTTTCACCTCATACCGCTGCCCTGGGGAGAGGATCTCAAGTGCCTCCTTGCTGCCCTCCTGCTGAGGAGCAGGGCTGGTCCCCGCCTCGGTCATGTGGTTCTTCTTCACTTAAAACTTTTGATAAACAGGTTTCATTTCTTTGTCTTTCTTTCTTCTTGCGTGGCAGCTTCCCTCTTCCCTCCTCAAGTTTCTGTTCTGTTTTTGGCTCTAAATACAACAGTGGAAGTTCCTGGTCCCAAAACCTCAGGTGGTGCCAGAGTGGCTCCGAGCAGACAGCAGCAAGCAAGAGCTTCCATCAGCCCCACTTACCTACTGCAGCATCTTCTCTACCATGAGCACAGCCTCCCCAAAACACCTCCTCACTCTACGAGGTCGTGGTGATCTTTCGAGGTCCCTTCCAAGCTTCCTGTGCTGTTGTATGGTTCAGTGGCGGGTTGTACTCAGCCCCAAGAGGCAGAGAAGTTACTGAGCCAGCTGAAAGCTCTTCTGGAGAACAGGAGCTGGCAGTAAAGCTCATCCTCAAGCCTAGGTGTCTCCATCATCTATACTCCTTCCTCTCCAAGGAAAAAGCAAAGTGCTTCTTGCTAATATGCTTGCTTTTTTTTTTTTTTAACCTAAATAGATTGTGTTAGAAGAATGATAGTCCCAAAGTGCTGTTTCTGTCCCTGAGCTGTGAAACCACGTCACAGGGGTGTTGTGGTGATCAGGAGTTTCCTGATCTTAAGGAGAACTTGAGTAAGTGCCCTTCTGGCATAGCAAATCCTCTGATCTGGAAATAGATGGAGGCTGGGAGACCTTCTGGAGGTCCACACTTGCTCTGCTCCTACTCACACATCTGCATAGGGTTGTGATAGAAAAGAGTGCAGAGCTGGACCCAGCTTTGCTCTGAAGCCTGTGCAAGACTTCAGAGAAAGAAAGGATGGGCAGAAAACATCTACAGTGGCTAGGAAGTCAGCCAGCACATAGGAGCATAGAACTTACAGTGGGTGTTCACTTCCTTCATGTCATGAGGGATTCCTTGCACAATGTTTTGAGTTCATCAAATGCAAATCTAAAAGCGCTGCCTGGTGGCCAGGATACGTCAACATCACAGGAAATAGACCAACAGCTGCCTTTTCCAGGAGGAAACCCCCAGCAAAAGGGTCAGCATAAGATTTAGACCTTTTCAGGGTCTGCCAAAAATCTCTGCAAAAAGCTTTGTGTGAAGCAACGAGGACAACCAGGAGTTGCACATTCTTGAATGATTTCTCAGTTCTGAGATGGGATGATGGTAAATGCTTGTAAAGCTGTTCACCCTTGTGATGTCTCCAGATCCGCGTGATCTGGATTCAGTGCTGTCTATACCTCAAGAGCTTTATGCAGTATGTGGCTTCAGGTGTTTACTGAAAGGGACTTCATATATTTAGAAATTCGTAGGAAATTGTGCTGTATTCAGACCTGCAGCCCAAAATGAAGATCCTTGAAAAACTTAAAGTCTAGAAATATTTCTCTACTGGCGTTATCTCAGATTTCCTACTTCTTAAATAAGACATCTCCGCATACACAAGGAATGCTGCCTGGGACAGCAACCACTGAGAGAAGAAAGTTTTCGGTGCTTTGCACACTCTAGGCAGAAGCAGGGCCGCAAAGCCCTGGAGCTCAGCCCTGGGAACTGAAGCCAAGAGTGCTGGTGGGACAAGCTGGGGGCTCACATCTGCCTCAAGCTTGGGAGCTTGGACCTACCGATACCACCGAAGGGCAGTGAGGTCAGCGTCACGTGCATCAGGGTGTCGTTGCCACAGAAGCCCCCACTGCTCGTCCTCTCCAGCACTTGGTTCACCTCCTGGAGGGAACAGAGAAGGGGACATGGCGCTGATGCCATGGCCCCGGCTGCCATCCATCCTGCAGAGCCAGAGCCAAAATCCTTCAGCCAAAATCTTTGGTGAGGAGAGTGGGCCAGATGCACAGCTGGGGCACTCTACCTTGTTGTCAGAGGAGAAGGCATATACAACCAGAGGCCGTTCACGGCTGTTGATGAAGTCAATGGCTTCATCCATATTGGCCACTGTGATGATGAGCAGGATAGGGCCAAAGATCTCCTCCTGCATGGCAGGGTCAGAGGGCTTCACATCCACCAGCACCGTAGGGGCTGCAAAGAAAGAAGCCTGAAAGTGTCAGCCGTGCCTGGAGGTTGGAGATGATACCTTGATCTACACAGTAGACAGGTCCCTTCTCTAAGGGTGGATGCCTCACCAAGCTGCCATGCAAGCTAAATGTCCCTTCTCTCTCTGCTCTGGCTCCAAGCCCCTCTCCAAAATCCACACCGCCTTATGCAAGGGTGAGAAGAATTATCTGAAATTCCAGCCCTCACCGATGTAGCGCTCCTTCTCGTCCGTCTGTCCCCCGATGGCCACACGCCCGCTGCTCAGCAGCGCCTGCACGCGCTTGAACTGCTCGTCCCCCACAATGCGGGCAAAGTCAGGGGAATCGCGGGGCTCAGAGCCATAGAACTCAGTGATGGCCTCACGCAGAGCAGGCATCAGCTTCTCCTGCATCTCCACACTGCACAGGACATAGTCGGGTGCAATGCAGGTCTGCCCCGCATTGAAGAAGCGTCCCCAGGCCACCCGCCGGGCCACGTTCTGCACATCGCAGGTGTCGGACACGTAGCAGGGGTTCTTGCCCCCCAGCTCCAGCGTCACCGGTGTCAGGTGCTTGGCGGCAGCTGTCATTATGATCCTGCCCACTGAGGGGCTGCCTGCAGGGCAGAAAGGGATGTGTCACGGCAGGGATCCCTCAGTACTGCAGCCTGGCCTGGGGACGTGGCACTGCAGGGAGCCAGGGCCGCAGGGAGCACAAGTGCCCCCATATCCCAGCACGAGGCTCAGCTCTGGCCCTCAAGACGCACCGGTGAAGAAGATGTAGTCAAACTTGTTCTCCAGCAGCCTGGTGGTCTCCTCCACGCCAGCAGTCACCACGGCAAAGCAGTCCTGCAGCAGAAGAGGAGGGGACTCTCCCTGTCACTCTGTTCCCATCCCCACTATCAGCACTCTGGACGAAGTGCTGTGGCTGAGTGAGCAGTGGGACAGCCAGGGGCCAGTTCTGGGGAGCACAGCCATAAGGAACCCCATGCTTTGGAGTGTTGTAATGGGTGAGAACAGGTGCAGTTCTGCATATCGCAGAGGACTTAGAGGTGGGGAGTGTAGGAACAGCTCGGCATACATAAGGGGCAGGAAGAACCCTGCCATGAGGCAGGGACAAGGATGAGAAGGGCTTCTTACTTTGTCCAAGTATTTGGGCAGCACTTCCTCCATGAGTTTCTCGCTGTTCTTGGTCAGCTCTGAGGGTTTGATGATGACACAGTTACCTGGGGGGAGATCCAACCAACAATGTGTTCCCCAGCCCTGACATGTGCTGCCCACATCCTGTAAGCAGGGGACGGGCTCAGCCTCACCAGCAGCGATGGCCCCAATGAGGGGCACCAGGAGGAGGTAGATGGGGTAGTTCCAGGGCCCAATGATGAGCACTACCCCATAGGGGTCCTTGCGAATGAAAGCCGAGTCCAGCTGCGTTGCCTACAGGAGCACATTGGTGTGGGTCAGATTCCACCTGAACAGCCCTCTTCATGCTCTGGGCTTTCCACCAGCCCACGCTGGCAAGGTCCTTTTCTCCCTTACCAGGTTCTTGTCCACATGCTTGTCCTTCATCCACCGGGACAGGTTGTTCAGGGCTTCATTGAGCTCGTTCTTGCACAGAAGGACCTCAGAGAACTCAGCCTCGAAGGGTGGCTGGGGATGCAAAGCACTGTGCCCATCACTGCTTCCATGCTCTCCTGCATCTTTCACACCCACCCCAAGGGGCTTTAACCCAGCTGTGGGTACCCTGCCGAGCCTCAAGGGGAGCAACAGCAGCGAAGCAAAAGCTTTGAGATATCCTCAGAGGAGACTGTGGAGATGGAGCCCGAAGAGATGGGGCTGTCCAGAAGGAGCAGGGACTTGGAGAATCCCTAGACTCCAGGAAGTGCACAGCTCCAGGACATTCCCAGGACACTAAGTGGGGAGGGTTTTTGCAAGCATCGTGTGGATTTGCCAATTTCTGAGCATTCTTTGGAGAGACGGGGCTGGGCAGATCTTTGGTCACACTCCACCCATCGTACCTATGTCCTTATAGCCATGTGCCTTTACCTAGCTGCTGCCATCAGTGCTGTTTTGGAGACGACCATCAGCAAGTTGCTGCTAACCCAGTCTTGGGCTCCTTAGCATTGCTTCCCCATTTCAAGCACTTCTCTTATGTGCAAAACCTCCCAAGTCCCTGGGGTCCCACAGCAGCCATGGGAAAGGGGTGAAATGAAGCACCACTCTGCATCTTCTTCCAGCACAAGAGCTGGTGTTTACAAATGGGGAAAGGCTGCAAGGATGGGCAGTTGTCCAAGGAGAGGTTCTGAACTGAGGTGGGGAACAGAAGATTATGAGCCCTATATGGTGCTCATGGTGCAGGTGAATGAGCTGTCCCGAAGTGGGGAGGTTCAGGCTAGGGGTCTAGAGCACGAGGACCGGGTCTGCTCTGCCCCATTGCTCAGAGATCCTGCTGGGAGCACAAGGGAGGGAGCAGAGGCTGGGGAGGCAGTGGTGCCAGGGATACAGTCAGGATGGGGTGGATTTGGGTGTGAGGACTTGACCAAGCACCAAGCAAGGTGGGGATTAGTTTCAGAGAGAGAGCAGGGAGCAAATGATGTGAGCAAGGGATGGATAAATATGTCCAGGTGTTTCTCATGACCCCACCCATCCTTTGCAGGCAGAGGTTCTGGGGACAAGGGTTGGCAGTTTCACCTTCATGTTCGCTGGACTCCTACAGCCCCCATGGGCTGCTCCTGATGGAGATGGGGTATGGCTTTCTCCTTACTGCCTCTATGTGCACCCATGGGCTCCATGACCAGGGCAGAGCTCCCCAGCCCTGCCAACCCCTGGATCCTCCAGTGTCCAACCCTGGGGGCCTTACCTTGTGCATGTCCAAGGCGGTGGCCTCCAGGATGTCCTGCTTCTTCTCCTCCAGGAAGCGGCCCAGGGCCTCCAGCTGTGCCATGCGGTACTCCAAGGACCGTGTCCTCCCTGAGAGCCAGGCTGCCCGCAGGCGGCTCACCAGCCCCGCATAAGGGTTCTCACTGCAGGGATGGGGGCATCAGGGAGACCCCATCACAGCCCCTTTGGGTGCCAAGGCACAGGGGCTCCGCATTGCCCCAGCACAAGCCAGCACCCATCCAGCATCAAGCTGGGGTGTCCAGGCTGTCTGGGCACCTCCTGCCTCCCTTCCACCCCAGCTGCTCATCACCATCCCTTCGCTCTCACCTCATGCTACCATCATCCCCACCAGCTGTGCCAGCCTCACCATCCGTGGGCTGCCTAGGGTGCTCAAGGGGCTGTTCCATGCCGAGCTGCGTCCAGGAGCCAACAGCTTCAGGGAGCAGCAAGGAGGAGCACGGGGCTGCACAGTACTCCTTCCACAGCTGCTCAGCCTAACGGGAGCCTTACCCAGAAGGGGTGGCTTTAGGGAGCCTGCTTAGCACCCCAACACTGCAGCTGTGTTCCCGCTGAGCACACACTGCCTCTTGCTCTGCAGTGGGGACTCCACCGCCAGCTTCCTGCCCTTCCCCTCAGCTCCTTGCGTCACTGCTGGCTGCGCTCCAGCCCGAACCACTCGCGATGCAGGACGCGCCTCAGAGAGCGGCAACCCTAAAGCTGTGCCTCTGGCACCATGGCAGCAAGCAGAACAGCCCTGTCCTGCCTCTCGGGTCCAGCCCTGGCGTGGTGCCTCAGCCCAATGTCCCTGCAGCTCCTCTGGCTGTCCGCACGGCTGTGTCACAAGTGAGGGTCCCCTGCCCATGGTGGGATGGCCTAATGGGGAACGAGGGTGTCCAGGTATGGTGCAGGGATGCAGGATTAAGCTGTGAAGGCAGTGGAAGCATGAGGCGAGGCCGCAGAGCTCAGTGCAAAGTCTTTACTGAGGACAGAGTTACACACAGAAAAAAGCAACAGCTAGCAGGAGAGTATTGGAAGGAAAGGTCAGCTAATCAGAGATGAGATAGGGCTAATTGCTGGTCCTGAGTAACCAAAGCACTATTGCTCTACCAGGAGAAGTGTGGGGTGAGAACAAGATTATTTTAGATGTGTCACAGCACACAGCCCTGTGCACAGGAAGCTGGAGAGAAGCAGGCACACAGGAGGGGTCAGTCCCCACTGTCCAGCATTCATCAGGATGGTAGTGCAACACAAGATGTAGCATGGGTTGGGTCCTGGTCAGTCCATATGTGGCACGGGGCCTTGCTCAGAGCAGGGTGCACATGCCCTTGCGCTTGATCTCAAAGGCAGCAGTCATCAGCCCCAGCTTCTGCTGGGTGTAGGGTGGGTAGCGCGGGGAGTTGATAGCCTCCAGGCCCATGTTGCGGTGCAGGCAGCCACGGTGATGACTGAAGGTGTCAAAGGTGAACTTGCCATGGTATTTCCCCAGACCACTGTTTCCTGCAACAAACAGCACAGGTCCAGGCTTGCTATGGGACTCCTGCCCAGCTCAAGTACCATAAGCACAAGGGAAACACACTCCTGGCTTTTCTCATGCCAACACAATGGCCAACGCAGTGCAGCACCTTTTGCCCTTCCCCATTCCTTTTACAGTCCCACCAGGGCTCAGTTGCTCAGCACTAGCTGCTCCCTGCAGCTCACCATTGCTTCTTGCCCCAGCTGCAAACTTTTGACCAGTCTGCGCCTACCTACATGGTTACATGCTCTTCAGAAAGCTTTGCTGGGTCGCATTTCCCCAGTTTTCCCCTCGATGTGGGGTCCTACCATATCTACCCACGGTCAGGAGCCACCAACCCATCTGGAACAAAGAGCTCCAGGAAGAAGCTCCTTGTAAAAATCAGAGGCCCATTGGCCACGTTGGTTCCCAATTCCTGTGGCTGACTTAAGCTCGAGGTTTCACGTCATGGTTAATAGCTTTGGCAAATGTCATCTCTGCCGAATTCAGGCCCTCCACCTGATAATTTGAGGCAGTTTCTCTGAATCATTTCCATAAAGATAAGTTACGACACAGGAACCACCACCAATTGTTCCTTGATCTGCAATCAGGCAAGGAATTAATTCTGCTTTGCTGTTGTGCTGTCTTATTATGGCTGAATCAGCTGGCAGCTCTGAAATGCTGAGCATGTGGAGTGTTTTTCCCAGAATAATCTCCAGATAAGAGAAATTCCAGGGAGGAGACCGCAGGATTGAGAAAGAACTCCGGGGAAGAAACATCACAATCATCCTCTATTTCTGTGCTCGCCCCTGAGCATCTCATGGTACGCAGTGCTACAACCAGAGCTCAGCAGACCTTTTGTCAGCAGAGAAAACAACTGCTATGTGCATATAAGCTCTGTGAAGGGCAAAAACTCTTCCCCTTGGCTGAGGAGGATCTTCCTGTTACCACAAGCAAATTTCCCAGACATTTATAGATGTTTTAGTCCTAATATTTAGCCTTAAAATGCAGAATTAATGTACAAACCTCCTCCTGAGTGATGTTAAGAGCTCCAATCCAGCACCATGCTTTTTGCAAGAGGAAAGCTCCCCTGCCCAAGAAGCTCAATGCTATGGATCTGCTCCCAGACAAGGAGAAACGATGGACTGAGCAAATTCACCAGCATTTGTGGAGCATTCAGGTAAACCTTATGCTGGGCAAAAACCCAACCCTGGCACAGAATGTGGGCAACTCATGTTGCCCCACACTGCTCAGAAATACCAAGGAAATACCCAAGTGGTACAAACTTCCCTATATTTGATGAGGCATTTTTGTTGACACAGTGGACCACGGAGAGAAGAAAACCTGCAGTGCTCCGCATGCACTCAGCAGAAGCAGGGCTGCAAAGCCCCAGAGATCAGCCCGAGGGAACTGAAGCCAAGGGTGGTGGTGGGACAAGCTGAGGGCTTGCATCTGCCTCAACCTTGAGGGCTTGGACTTACCAATACCACCGAAGGGCAGCGAGGTCAGCGTCACGTGCATCAGGGTGTCATTGCCACAGAAGCCCCCACTGCTCGTCCTCTCCAGCACTTGGTTCACCACCTGGAGGTAGCAGAGAAGGGGACATGGTGCTGATGTCCTGCTGCCCCAATTTCCCTCCTTCCCTTTTCTGCCCTGTGGACCACACGCACCTTGCTGTCACAGGAGAAGGCGTAGATGGCCAATGGCCGGGGCCGTGCATTGATGAAGTCAATGGCTTCATCCATGTTGGCCACAACGACAATGGGCAGGATGGGCCCGAAGATCTCCTCCTGCATGGCAGGGTCAGAGGGCTGCACATCTGCCAGTACTGTAGGGGCTGTGAAGAAGGAGAATGGCAGCAAATAGCTCACTACATAGGCATGGGTACTCACATCAGCCCCGGCTTGCCAGGGACCTGCTGCTTCACAGGTTCCTTTTCCCAAACAAAGCTCACAGAACCACAGAAACATAGTCACCAAATCATAGAATATCCCAAATTGGTTTTGAGCCCTCCACAATCTCCCCGTGTCTCTGTCTGTGGTCCTTGTGGTCATGGCTCTGCTTCCGTATCTCACATCCCCCTGCCAAGCACTTCCTTGCTCCCCACACGCCAAACCATCTCCTCACCGATGTAGCGCTCCTTCTCGTCCGTCTGTCCCCCGATGGCCACACGACCGCTGCTCAGCAGCGCCCGCACGCGCTTGAACTGTTTATCCCCCACAATGCGGGCAAAGTCAGGGGACTCCCGTGGGTTGGAACCAAAATATTCGGTGATGGCCTCACGCAGAGCAGGCATCAGCTTCTCCTGCATCTCCACGCTGCACAGGACATAGTCGGGTGCAATGCAGGTCTGCCCCGCATTGAAGAAGCGTCCCCAGACCACCCGCCGGGCCACGTTCTGCACATCGCAGGTGTCGGACACGTAGCAGGGGTTCTTGCCCCCCAGCTCCAGCGTCACCGGTGTCAGGTGCTTGGCGGCAGCTGTCATTATGATCCTGCCCACTGAGGGGCTGCCTGCAGGGCAGAAAGGGATGTGTCACGGCAGGGATCCCTCAGTGCTGCAGCCTGGCCTGGGGATGAGGCAGGGCTCAGCTCTGGCCCTCAAGACGCACCGGTGAAGAAGATGTAGTCAAACTTGTTCTCCAGCAGCCTGGTGGTCTCCTCCACACCAGCAGTCACCACGGCAAAGCAGTCCTGCAGTGTAAAAGGAAAAATCCCCGTCAGCATCTGCCTGGGCCAATCTGTCCCTATCCCCATTAGCAGCACCCTGTGCTGCTTGGATCACAAACACTGGCTGATCATGGAGCAGGCATTACAGCACCCCAGAGCAGGGCAGCCATCATGCTGGTGTGTGCAAAGAGTTGTGATCAGGGGTTGGAATGCCCTGGCCACAGGCAGGGGTAATGACAGGGACAAGGAGAGCTTCTTACGCTGTCCAGGTAGCAGGTCAGCATTTCAGCCACAAGCTTCTCAGTGTTCTTGGATATTTCTGAGGGTTTGATGACCACACAGTTACCTAGGGAGAGACAGACAGAATGTCAGAGCAGCCCAAACTAGAGACAGAGACCCCATCCAGGTTCCCTCGCCTGCATCCTCCAGGCAGGGGATGTGCCTGGCTTTGTGCAGCCTGGCCTCACCAGCAGCAATAGCACCGATGAGAGGTACAAGGAAGAGGTGGATGGGGTAGTTCCAGGGTGCGATGATGAGCACCACCCCATAGGGGTCCTTGCGGATGAAAGCTGAGTCCAGCTGTGTTACCTGCAAGAAAGGCATCTCAGTGCTGCTCCTGAAGCAGCTCTGCCCCTTTCCAGTTGGCCTCCCGCTTCCAGGGAGCCCAGAGCTTCTGCCCTACCAGGTTCTTGTCCACGTGCTCGTCCTTCATCCAGTGAGACAAATTGTTGAGGGTGTCATTGAGCTCATTCTTGCAGAGGAGAATCTCAGTGAAATAGGCCTCAAAGGATGGCTGGGGACAGACATCAGTGTCAGCATCACCCCAACATCAGAACCATCTCCTCCCACCCACAGATGTCTCCCCTTCTGCCCACAAAGGCAGAGCGAAAGAAGCTATTAAGGAGAAGCTATTTTAAGCAGAAAGAGCTATTAGTCCTGCAGCTACTGGGGAGTATCATGGCCACCAACATTTTATTACAGTTGGTATTTGGTCAGAGAGAAAAACAATATGATGTCTTTTGGGCCACACTGTGTACTGGTACCATTGCCTTTGAGGCCACAAGTTGCTGCATTCTGATCACTTGGGAGCTGGAGGCAGAGCCTAGTGCCTTATTCCACTGCCCCCGCACAGCTGCCGGGCTCAAAGCTCTGCATTGTTCCAGCAGGAACGCAATGAAGACCGAACACTTTGTGACTGCCCCACAGAACAGAGCTCGGCTGTACAGCACCAGGCAGGAAAATCCCTGCAGCTGTGGGGCTCCTGCAGTGAGCCGGCACACGGTTGGGCCAGGCAGGTTGGGTGAGACACGAGGAGGAAACAAACCCAGCAGGTTGCTTCCAGATACGCCATCTCAACACATGGTGACTAAAATCACCGTGAGTTGGGAGCGGCGCAATTCTGCAGAGGCATTTCCTGCCGACGCAGGTCCTCTCCATTGACAGAAGCGTGGCAGAGTCAGTTTGTGATGGAGAAGCATGAGGACACGAGGAGTTAGCTCAGCAGGACTAACTTCCCTCTGTCACTGTGCAGAGCGAGACTCTTTGGCATTAAGTTGTTTGCAGAGCCTCCACTGTGATAGCCTCCACACCACAAAGCATCTCTGGTGGGAGCTTTCCTTCATCACAGCAGGAAAAGAGGGGGGAAAGTTGAGTTTGTGACCCCTCTCCTTGGAGGCTCCACCACCAAGCCCAGCCCAGGAGACCTCTCTGGCTCCTCAGTATATCAGTCACATGGTGAAGCAACGGGGCTGCTCTCAGCCTGGGCGGTTGATTGCATCACCAGGAGGATGAGGAAACTGCTGGTGAAGATTAATGGTGGCCATTAAGGGTTTTGATGGGACAGAAGTCTGGTGGATGAGACATTAAATCTGAGGTCACTCTTCCATCATCAGGAGAGAAACCGGCATGGCCACGGGCGAGGCAGCCACCTCAGATACGTAAGAGCAGATGAATTGTCCATCCAGCTATGAAGACCTGACTGCATAACACGCACGTTAGTGGACAACCGGTTCTAATTACGTACAATTAGGAGAGATGAACAACGCATGTTGAGTGTCAATGCTTATCAGCACCTGTCTGAAGCTGAAGTTTCTCACCTCAAACAAACAAGGCAATTAGAAGCATAGGGAGATTTTGAGATGCTTGAGGCCATCTGTGGGCACGGCCACACACAGATGCAGATCCAACACCTCAGAAACCTTTTCTAACAATCTCTGACCAAATTGCGTGGCTGCAGAGCACATACAGAAAAAGTGACCATAGACTGAATTTGTCCCCAGTGGGGAGGCACCCTGCCTCCTTGACAGATCACTCAGGAGCTCCTGGAGTGCCATAGTCCCTAAAGTCCCCACTTGTACCACGGCACCAAGCCAGCAAGATCTATCCCTGCACAGCTGGCATGGGAGGAATGTGCAAGGTCAGCTCCTTATACAACACCAGTAATCCCTGCTGCAACCAGGCATGTGAGGAGCACCCTTGACTGCAACCAGGGCACCACAGAAGTGACATGGAACTACTCAGGGACTTGGCACTCTGAATGCCCCACAGCAGCACAATGTAGGGATGCAGGACCCCAACACCTCAGTGCCCATTCCTGACTCCTCTCACCTTGCCCATGTCCAAGGCGGTGGCCTCCAGGATGTCCTGCTTCTTCTCCTCCAGGAAGCGGCCCAGGGCCTCCAGCTGTGCCACACGGTACTCCAAGGGCCGTGTCTTCCCCGAGAGCCAGGCTGCCCGCAGGTGGCTCACCAGCCCCGCATAGGGGTTCCCGCTGTGGGAGTGGGGATGTCAGGAGTACTCCAGCCCTCTCCCAGTCCTCAGTGCTGCAGGTGCCAAGGAGAGGAGCTCCGCATCCCAGCCTCATCCCACACCATCTGTGCCCTCCCTCAGAGTTGGAGCTCTCTGTGCTCACCTTATCCCCAAACTCGGCTCCCCAGGATCCCATTGTGGCCTGGTGCCCGATGGCTCCTCACGTTTGACCCTTGCATCCCAGCAGCTTGCAGCACCCACATTCACCCCCCTCCATGCCAGTGCCCCAACCCCTGCTGTCCCCAGTCCCTCGCTCTCACCTCACAGTGCTGCAGACCGCTGACCCTTTCGGGATGGCACCAGCTGCACTGGCACTGTTGCTCAGTAGGCTGCTCTTACCATAGCCTGGGGGCTGCTGCACAGGAAGCTGGAGGGGCTGATGCATGGTTTACACGGGCCCTGGGGAGAGGTATGGAGATGGTAAATTTACACAAGGGTTCTTCCCTCCCCCAATGGTGTGGGGTCTGCAGTCACTGCAAGGAAGCCTTGGAGATGCAGAGCAGCCACCCCACAGCACAGCACTATATTCACAGTGGCCTTTTGAAGGCATCTGGGTGCTTGAGGACATCCAGACTGAAGCGTGAGTCACTCCAGTGTGGCTGCCTGAGGCCTCGAAGCATCCAGCTGGAGATGCCTGGAATTCCCATACCCTTCCCCCCTTCCCGGATGGCCTCCAGCCATAGGATTGCCCTACAGATGTGGGGTCGGTCTGGAGGATCCCAATGCAGGGAGGTATCCCAGGATGGCCTGTTGGGTTCCCCACACACCCCACTAAAGGGCAGCACTGGTACTGCCCCAACCCACCATTGGGCATAGTGTCGCTCCCCTTTTCAATGAAGATTTGCACAAACACAGGGCTAGGGGAGGTGGGGGGGCAGGGGATACCCACAGCCCCACATCTGCTTCCCTGTCCCTTTCCATACCCAACACATCCACCCTTCCTCAAGGGAACCCACCAATGGCAAAGCCCAACCATGGGGTAGCCAAGTGCCACATGGGGGCCCATAGGTACCTACCTGTGGGGCTGAGCGGTGGCTGGAAGAGCACGAAGCTGGGTTGGCACTGCCGAAGCTCAGGGTGGCCCTCATAAATGCTGTGGGGCAGGTGGCCTGGCCACATGTCCAGGGGTGGGCAGGATGATGCCCCGCCTCCATGGGGTTGGCAGTAGGGAGAGAGCACCCCGCCTCCATGTGTCTGATGTTGGGATGGGAGCAGGACCTCCCAGTGGGATAGTGGGGCTGGGGAACAACCAAGCCATCACTGTGAGCCCTGACCCACAGATACCCCACAGAAACCACTCACTCTGCTTCCCAGAGCCACCTCTAATCCAGGGGACTCAGCAGACCCCATGGGGACACAATGCCATCCCTATGCCCGCTTCCACCCCATCATTACTGGAACAAGCCCCAAGCTCACCCCACACCCACCTCCCCTCCACTCACTCTAGCTCCCCACACACCCTAATTAATGACGCTGCTTTGTAAACAGGAAGGCAGCAGCCCTGCCCCATGCACTGTGCCAGAACGGCGGGGTGGTGCTGCTCCCAAATCCCAAGGAGTACCCCTAAGTATAGGGGGCACGGATTCACCCCAAAGTGCTTCTGCGCTTGGGGGAATGGAGCCCAGCCCTGAGCAGCCCCTGCCTTGGTGCAGGATCCTCCTGGCCCATATCCACCATCTGCAGGACAATCCAGGGTTGATTTTGGGTTTTGGCTGCAGTGCTGTCCTCTGGATGCTGCATGCCCACTGGGGATACCTGTAAGGGATAATGGTGCCTGTGATACCCGCAGGGTCCCCCACTGCAGTGTGGGACATGCACATGGCCAAGATGCTCCACGTGACCTGTGGGGAAGGGGAAAGTGGAGATTGGCACTCCCGTACCCCAAATAAGTGTTTGGGGGCACAATATGGGGCTGAGCTCACCGCCCTCAGCCTGAGTTTAGGGTCACAGAGGGCACGGGAGGCATCCCGCACCCCTCCTGGGGTTGTCCCTGTCCCCATCCCGCTGCGTGACATTCCTTTAGTACCGGCTTGGCCAGATCTGTCCATTGGCTGCGGGTGACCGATGACAGGGAGGGAGCAAAGCTGCCAGACTCCCTCCTGGCTCCCCTTTATGGGGTGCCAGAGGGGATATGGGCACACAGGAGGAAGGGGGGGGAGAACAGGGGACACTTGGGTGACAAGGGGACTCAAGCAGACAGGTGACAACAAAGGAGAGAGGTCAAGAAGGGCCAAGTGCCGCTTCCATGTGGCGATGGGATAGGAGCAGCATAAAATGGGTGCTGGTGGGAGTAAGGGGGGTCCCGGAAGTTCTAGGAGCGGCTCCTTTAAGCCCCCGTCCCGCCCGCCCCGTTCGAAAGAGGAAGCTGCGGCAGCTCCGCCCCGAACCGGGCAGAGCGCGGGGCAGCCAGGCCGGGGTGCCGAGCTCGGGGCTGTGGGGTAGGAGTTGCCGGACTCGGGGATGCGAGGGTGCTGGGTGCCAGGTTTGGGACTGAACGGTGCGAGGATGGAGGAGTGACAGGCACAGCGTGTAGGGGGGCAGTGCACATGGGTGTAGTGTCCAAGGGGTGCTGGGCAAAAGGTTTCGGGGTGCAGAGCATATGGGTGCAAGGTTTGGGGGTGCCGGGCTCATAGGTGCAGGGTTTGGGGGTGGATGAATGATGGGTGCAGAGCACACGTTGTGAGGGCTCATGAGAGCAGGGTTTAGGGATGCAGAACACACAGGTGCCAAGGTTTAGGGGTGCCAGGCACACAGTTGCAGAGTATGGGGGTGTGGCTCAAGGGTGCTGGGTGCAGGGTTTGGGGGTGTGCAGTGTAAGAGGGGAGGAACAATGGCTGCCCAACGAGGGGGTGTGGGCAGCACGGGGTGCTGGACAGGGGTGCAAAGCACACAGGTGCAAAGTTTGAGGGTGCAGAGCCCAAGGGTGCAAGGTTTGGGGCCACAGGACACATGTTCTGCCCCCCCAACACCTCCAGAGTGCCCTGCAGACACAGCAGCAATGGAGAAGGACCCTGGCTGCTGCCAGGATGTGACCAAAACAGCAGCGGGTGAGATGCTGGGCCCTGAGGCACAGGTGAGGCAGGGAGGTGACACGGGGTTGTGACGCATGGTGGTGGCACCCCGTGGCTGAGCAGGGGGCTCCTACAGCTGGACGACATGGTGGGAGCGCACACGGACTACAATGAGGAGGAGGAAGAACAGAAATATTTCCGCCGCAAGCGCCTTGGTGTGGTGAAGAATGTGCTGGCTGCCAGCTTGGCCGCCATGCTCACCTACAGCGTCTACCTGGGTATGGCCCTGGCCCCAGAACGGGGAACCCCCTGATGTCAGTGGGGCAGTGACATGATGGCACTTGGGACCCCCCCAGGCCTGCTACAGATGCAGCTCATCCTGCACTATGACGAGACCTACCGGGAGGTGAAGTACAGCAACATGGAACTGGAGGACATCGACCGCAAGGTGCTGATGGGCATCAATGTCACCCCCGTGGTGGCACTGCTCTACACGCCTGTCCTCATCCGGTTCTTTGGCACCAAGTGGACCATGTTCCTGACCGTGGGCATCTATGCCCTCTTTGTCTCCAGCAACTATTGGGAGCGCTACTTCACACTGGTGCCCTCTGCTGTGGCCATCGGGGTGGCCATCGTGCCGCTCTGGGCCTCTTTGGGCAACTACATTACACGGTAGGTGGCAGGGGGAGAAGGGAACAGTGGGACAGGGCAGAGGCTGACCCATGCTCCACTACAGGATGGCACAGAAGTACTACGAGTATGCCAACTACAAGGAGGAGCACGTGCAGGAGCAGCGGCAAGCACCACGTGGAGCCTGCAGCGCCTACATTGTCGTCTTCCAGACCATCTTCTACATCTGCTTCCATGTGAGGGCCAGCAGGGACAGGGAGGGGACAAATGGAACAGCCCAGTGCTGAATGTCCACCGTTCTGCATCCTGCAGCTGAGCTTCGTCTGCGCGCAGATGCCCATGCTCTTCTTCCTCAACAATTACATCTACCAGCTCAACCACACACTCTACGGGGTGAAGCGCTGTGGTGAGCACATGGGGCGGCAGTGTGGGGTGTTGGCACAATCCTGGCCAGTGCTGAGCCCACAGTGCACGCCCCTGCAGGTACCCTGAGCCACGGCACGCTGACTGGCTTCAATGTGACGGTGCTGCACAGTCTGCCTCGCAGTGTCAACCTCATCGTGGTGGAGAGCATCCTGATGGCAGCTGCCTTCCTTGCTATGCTGGTGGTGAGCACGGGATTGTAGGATCAGAGAATGGTTTGGGTTGGAAGGGACCTTAAAGATTTTCCATTTCCAACCTCCTGCCGTGGGCTGGTTGTAAGATGGAATAGGATGGGGCAGGTGGCCATCAGCATGTCACCCATTACCACAACACAGGTCCTGCTGCTCTGTGGCTCGGCGTATCGGACCACAGAGGAGATTGATCTGCGCAGCATAGGCTGGGGGAACATTTTCCAGCTGCCCTTCAAGCACATGCGAGACTATCGCCTCCGCCACCTCCTTCCTTTCTTCATCTACAGTGGCTTTGAGGTGCTCTTCGTCTGCAATGACTTCTCCCTGGTACAGCACAGAGTTGGGATGGGGTGGTGGCACGGGGACAGCACGGCTGCACGATGCTAAGCCTGTCCTCGATGCAGAACTATGGCGTGTGCACCCTGGGGCTGGAGAAGCTGGCATACCTCCTCATCGCCTACGGCTTCTCTGCCTCCACCTGCTCCAGCCTTGCCCTCTGCATGCTGCGCCTGCGGCGTCAGTACCCACTGCTGGCCGGAGCCTCGCTCCATGCTGCTATCCTGGTGACGCTCTTCTGCTGGGCACCTGTGCCCCGACAAGTGGATCAGGCACCTCTGCTTTACGCCATAGCTGCACTCTGGGGAATGGGCAGTGCCCTCAACAAGACTGGCATTAGCAGTGAGTAGTGGGAATGTCCCAGTACAGTCTCTGGTGTCCCCAGGAGCGAGCAAGTTGTTTCCAGACCATCCTGGCCTTGTGTTCCCCAGTGTTCTCCAGTTCCATGGGTGAGGCAGGTTGTCCCCAGCTCATCCTGTTCTTGTGTCTCCTGGTGGCCCTAGTTCTGTGGGTAGGGCAAGTTGTCCCCAACTAATTCTGTACTCATGTCCCCCACTGGTACCCACCTCCATGAATAGAGTGAGTTGTCACCAGCTCACTCTGTCCTTGTGTCCCCCAATGACCTCCAGCTCTTTGAGTAGGGCAGGTTGTTCCCAACTCATCCTGTCCTCATGCCCCCTGGTGTTCCCTAGCTCAGTGGGTAGGGCTTCTTGTCCCCAACTTGTCCTGTCTTTGTGTGCCCCAGTGGTCCCCAGCTCTATAGGCCCACTAGCAATTATCAGAAGACACCATAGGCTGGGGATGCTGACGGCATGTACCTTCCGCCCTACACCTAGTCCTCCTGGGCATGCTGTATGAAGATAAAGAGCGCCAAGACTTCGTCTTCACCATCTATCATTGGTGGCAGGCGCTGGCCATCTTCGTGGTGTACCTGTGGTCAGGGCTGCCCATGAAGGTGAGCAGGGCTGGGATAAGGCAAGGGCCGGATATAGTGAGGCTGTCCCACATGCTGACCCCTGCCATCCCCTAGGCCAAGCTGTCTCTCATGCTGCTGGCGCTGGGGCTAGCAGCGGGTTCTTACGGCTGGATGGAGCGCCGGCTGGCACAGCGCGTGGCCTTCCGCCTGCCCCGCATGCCACGTCCACGCCACAGAACCAGCGGATACCGCTACCTGGAGGAGGATGACTCTGACGAAACCAACTCAGAAGGTGAAGGGACGAGCCGTGACAACAGCCATCAGCCAGCGGAGGAGGACGAGACGCCGAGAGATGACGGGGAGCAGAGAAATTAGGCAGCGGGCCCACGGGCCTCACTCTGGCAGCCCCGCAGGCCTCCCCACACAGCCCTGTAGGCTGCACCGCTCTGGGGCTTGAACCCCCCCGGAGCCGACCCCGAGGCACTGCGCTGCGCTTCCCGCTGATCTCCGACTCAATAAAGGGTTCATCCGATTGCCATCTCCGCCTCCAGTGCCGCCGTTCCGTCGCGCTGCTTTCGACGCCCCTCCGTGAGGGAGAAGGCAGCGGCACTTCCGTCCGCCGGCGGGGCTTCCGGTCGCGTGACCACTAGAGGACTACAGCTCCCGGCATGCAATGCGCTGGGCGTGGTGCACGTCGGGAACTATAGTCCCCTGCGTGCCCCCGCCTGCGCAGCCTCGCCGGCCTTGGACTCGCCGCCCCACAGTGCCCCGCGCTCAGGCAGACGGCCGGGCAGGGCGGGCGCATGCGCGCTGCGCGCTGTTGTTGTGGCGGCGCGGCCCGCTGCTCCCTGGCCGGCAGCGATGAGCGACAACGATGACATCGAGGTGGAGAGCGACGTGAGTCCGCCCACCCCCCCGTTCCCCACCCTCCCCCCTGTGCCCCGATGTGGGCAGTGAGGGGGTAACGCTCGGTTTGTCCCTTCTTCCTCCTCCCCTCCGCCCTTCCATGCTTCCTCCTCACGGGGCCCGCAGGAGGAGCAGCCCCGCTTCCAGTCCGCGGTACGTAGGGGGGGGGAGGGGCTATGGGGTTCTGCTCTTGGGGGAGCACTGGTTGGGGGAGGGCTGTGCCATGAGGAGGTCGTAGTTGGGGCGGGGGGTGCGCCTGTGTGGGGTTTTTTGGTGGAGGGGGGACACCTGTGTGGAAACGCGGGGAGGGTCTGAGGGAGGTCGGTGTGATGGGGGGGTCCATAGGGTCCTGTTGGGGGAGCAGCTGTGGGATGCGTCTTTGGAATTGTTTGGGGGAGGGGTGTTGTGGGGAGGCCTCTAGGGCTTTGTTATAGGGGGATTTGGAGGGGGCTTCGGTGATGGGAGGGCTCTGTTTGGGGGGGACACTTGTGGGGTTGTGTTTGGGGGGGCTGTGTGTCATGGGGGGGTCAGCTGTGGGGTTCAGTTTGGGGGGAACACCTGTGGGATGTGTCTTTGGGAGGGCTGCACGGGGAAAAGGGGGGCTCTGGTTGGGGGGAGATGGGGGATTGTGGTGATGGGAGGGCTCTGTTTTGTTCTGGGGGATTATGTCATGATGGAGGCCCTATGGAGTCGAGCTGGGGGGAGATACCTGTGGGATGTGTCTCTGGGGGGACTCTGTGTAAGGGGGGGATATCTATGAGACTCAGGGTGTGAGATGTGTCTTCAGGGGGGCTGTGTCGTGGGAGTGGATCTGGGACTCTGTTAGGGGGAGGGTCTATGTTTGGAGGGAAATGGGGGGCGGTGGCGATAGGACTCTGACAGGGATGCTTCTTTGGGGCTGTGGCTTTTGGACTGTTTTTGGGGGGTGGGGTTGTGTTTGGGGTGTGTCTGGGAGGCTGTGCTGATAAGAGAGTACTTTGTCTTGGGGGGGCGAAACGGACAAAGTTGGGTTTGGTTTGGGAGGTCAGAACAGACACCTGTGGGGTCATGTTATGGAAGTGTCTTTACTTTGGAGGGTAATGGCACCTGTGGGAGCTATGTTTAGGGGTCGTCTGTGGCATTAAATAAGGGCTGTCAGGTGTGGGAAGCAGGAGGGCTGTGCCTGCTTTATCGGGAAGATGCAATGAATTTGTGTGGTTGCGAGGGAGGGTGTCTCTTTCGGAGCCATCTCTCTGCGGGCTCTTTTTGGAGCAGAGGGAAGCGTGGGGTTGCCTCTTTCCAGCGAGCTACCTTGGGGAGAGAGGACGCACGTGGGGCCGTGCCCTTTGGGTCTATGCAGAGGCAATGCTGTGTGCTACAGGGGCTATGATGCATTCTGGGGGGTGTGAATCTGCCTCCCCCCCC